TATAATTGCATTTTACTGTTTTTTTTGGTAAATTTTATTAACCATCCATGTCATGCAAATTAATAGTATTAATCGGACAGAACCTTAAAACGGGTGTGAAGTTTCTTCAAGGTGAAAAATGATTCGCCATGTCAACAATTCATAATTTTTCACAAATCATTAGAAGTCGTTTTGACAAAATATCAAAGAGAATGATTATACCATCATCTTATGATCGTTTGAGAGATTTACTCAAGGGTTATGACAGGTCACCGTGAAATGGGACAAGTGATCTTAAGATTCTCTGCTGTCACTTACTCAAATCGCTGATCGCTACTTTTGTAGAGTGTTTTCTTACATTTCTACATCTGTAAATACCACAATGTCTTAAAAAGAAGGCTTGTCTGGTGTGCTAAGTACATACTTAAAACTGTTACCCACAACAGAAAAACCAGAATTCGTTCTAAAGCAACACATCAATACGATAGAAAACAACTAACTGAGGTTTTCAACTTTCATTTGACATTTTTATACAAGTATACCAGTATATCTAAACAATGCATACAGGTCCTTGAGGAATGACTTGTACACAAACGGTAAACGCCCTCACCATGGCTACTATTTTCTCTCGTCAAAACAAAGCCTCCATCAAGGTCCCAGCCTAGATATTGAGGTCAAACTTAGAAGGTAATTACAGTATTTGCCCTATTAGTAGCACATACATTTAAATAAATAATATATAAATATGTCTATTGTTGAAATAAATTACATAACGTCCAGTATACAATAAATATGAATTTTTATTTATGTACATATCATGTATGCTAGTAACTGTTACAACCAATCATATACAGATCTAAGCTTTATTATTACATATTCGATGGTTAGCTTTTTGCAAGTTGATACAATAGAGAAAATACAGTTGGCGGGTTAACTTTTTATTTTTTGCGCGACACTTTTCACTTTGGCACGTAGATGTTTTGACTTGACAAGTTGTTTGACAGCTAGCAACAAAATTGGGCGACGCGCACTGTCGGCAGCGTCTTTTTTATGACGTTTTGAACACTTCGTCAAGCAGTATCATCTGGATTTATGCATAACCATGTCTTGTATTAATGGGGAATATTTAATATGGCTCTTGGAATAAACATGCCTTGCTATAGGCCACGAAAAGTCATGAGACGTCACCATTTACAAACACATTTGAGTAGGTCTTCTACATTGCTAGCTGTGAGTGGCTACCACAAAGTTACGTAATGTAATTCTTTATCAGGTGGTTCAATTTGAACAAAAAAACGAAACACTAGCGATAAAAGTCTCCATGGTCTGAAATGCGAAACGTTCAATCGTGAAGTTTTAAATATTATTTATAAATTAATGCAACCCTAATAAACTAACTATAACTAGAAGAGACTTGTGTAATATAAATAAACAAACCTCAGACTGTCGCGGTGCCACCCATTTGTAACGATGTCGTGTCGATAATTATAACTCGCAGCTAAAGATAATCATGCCTCAACATCTGGCAACAACAAACTTTGAAACACATATGCTGAAATACCCACAATGCATTACTTGTTACCATGGAAATGCTTGCCTAACCAATGACTAATAATTTTATGCACAACATAATTTGTAGATTTATCAAGACAAAGAATATTCAATCGTGACATACAGGTACGTAAAATTTGGTCCACATGAAATTTATGTATTTTCGAAAAACTTGCACTCTAAATTCTAGCCTAAATTCGTGGAAAAGAAAAAGAAATAGCAAAATCTATTCAATAAAAACATTGAAAACATCTCTCATGAAGAACCTCCAGAAAAACGCAAAATAAAACGACACATGTGAATGACAAAAATAAATCAATTACAGTTACCATGTAAATACCAGTGAAGCGCGACCAACGCAATCTGAATTACAAGTATCGAATTAAAATCTGCAATAATACTTTGCTACCAACACTCAAGAACAGTGCGAGCAGATTATTTGCTGTAGAGATGGAGAAGAGCTGAAAAAATCTGGTGATGCTTGTATCCTAGCAACAACATCATCACTACTGCAGCTAAGCGATAAATTTCAGCACTGCTAGCTGAGAAAGATGACTCGCAAGTCAAATCTGTCAATGAAATGATGTTGAACTTTTAAATTTTGTTCTTTTTATGCAATTGAGAGAATGGAGCCAAGTAGGTTAGGCTTCATTATACGCACAGACATCTTTCATTATGTTCATATTAGTGTAGAAAATTAAATAAGACCAATTTTCAGAACTGATCAAGGAAACAACGAATCAAACAGAACCGATATTCAGACAAATACAGTTACTTAGTCTCTAATCAACGACAGCTAACACGGCCTGACTCCTAAATCATATATAGGAAACCAATCTCAGCATATTGACAGCAATTCAGACTACGAGCAACAGCCAATATAATATTGCCATAGAAACAGGTCAATATTTTACACTTTTACAAATAAATTTATACAAGAGTGAAAGGTGTAAGCTTTTCTCTATCTGACTGTTTTTATAACTACACCTACTGTGCTATATATTTTATTACAATAAAAGGGAAAGGCATACACAGTGTAGTTTAAAAAGAAGCCATTTATAGGATACTATGATTGATTATCTCTTTTACCGACCATATTTAACTTTTATCGGTTTTAACAAACAGACTTGTACAAATATCCCTGAATGCTCTCATAAATCTTAGTATATTCCATATTTCTCGGAAAATTATACAAGAGAAAAAAAAAAGCACATGAATAAGGCAGCAGATACATTTGCATATCAAGAAGATCGGTAATTTGGTTTCATTTTTGATACGTCTCATTGAAAATAAACTACCCGGTAATGTCAGAGAGATTTATCAGAATTGTTAGATAGCGAATGTGTTGTTTTCTATAACGATTCATCAAAGTTTTTATATTGATAGTGAATCGTCATCAACATCCACTAAATTATGGGATATAAATGTATTTTGTTTCTCATTATAATTATTATCCAGTGAGTAAATTTAATGCCAGAACATCACCCCTTTTAAAAACTAAATCAATTGATTGAATGTCAAAGGTCAGAATGAACAATAAGGCCTAATAAAAAAAATAATGTGGTTTTTATAACATACTTTGCAAAAATAGAGTTGGTAGGTAGGGATTTTTTTGTTTTTCTTGGTTATGACTGTCTGTATTTCATTTTTTTTTTCTTGCATATAGAACTGTTTTTGCAATAATTTGGCATCATCAATCATGTTTAAAACTGTATATATTACCAAGTTTTCAATTTCAGTGAAATCTCATTGAAAGGCTAGCACAATTTTGTGACTTTTCAAATATGGCTAAAAGTTCATGGTCAGGCACAAAAAAAAAGGTAAGTTGGGTTTTAGGAATCATGCATTTTCTTTTTTTTTGGACTAATGAATATTTATGCACAGACAGAGAGAGGGGGATGTACATGAAGCATGACGACTAGGAGTGGAACATACCAACACACTAAAGAGAATATTATCACATACATTTCACATTGCACACTACTGGTGTTTGTCTACAAAGAACAGCTGCTTGTACTTGCTGATACCCAGATAAGAGTAGGGTTGTGTCATGTCACAAATGAACCGTGCTTGTTCTGGTCTTGTTACAAAAATGTTAGGTATTGTGTTAATACAGAGCAATGCTCCAAAACAATCACTAACTTATAACACTAACAGCTCCACAATTTTAATTCCAAAATTTTAATTACAGTATTTTTAATTTTTCTCATTGCAATATTTGATCTTTATACTAAGAAAATATGTAAAATTTTAATATTAGAACTTTTTGCTTGACTGATAAAGCCATGGATGACTATTTAATTGAATTCCACAAATATTGTTTGGCCATAACAATAGAAGTGAAATCAAATTATATAAATTATTATAATAATTACTTCATAGAATATAATATTATTCAACCATATTTCAAGTTAAAATGAGAAAAAAAAATTATCAGGGTTTACGGTGTCACAATATCACAGCAGGATCTCAAGTTTTCATAAATCAGTGCAAGAAAGATTACGATTTTCACACTGTAATGTAGCTTCGTCATCACAGTACTTCCCTTTCCAGAGAAATCTTTAGAGCAAAATATCGTCACTGATGATTTGCAGTTGTATTTACTTTGACAGAGCCGCATTCGTTGGCTGCCTGTGATCTCACAGGTACTGAGTACGGAAAACACTCCCTGTTCAGAGTTACCATTAACATGCCAGGAATTTTTACGACAATTTCCGTCAAAAAAGACAAAAACAAAACGCGGTTAAATTCCGGTACTAAATCTCCGAACTTTATAAGACGAAAGGTAAACAACCACCCTCGCCTCTGGGGACGGCCATGTTGCCGCAATGAATGAGCTGTTACGTAATACGTGACACCCAGGCTCTCCAGGCGCCGAAGCCAATTATTCACACCTCCACGTCTATTGTGCGGAGCTCATCGTACCGGGGTAGGCTGTTCACACCTGATAGTAAGAGCGGGTAAGCTTCCAGACTCAATCACCGGATCTGTTTTTTACCTTTTCCCACGATGATCAACCACAAAAATATCCGAGGACATTAATCGGCGATCCAGGGAGTAAACAAAGCCCTGCGTGACAATAATTACGTTTCACGGAAATAATATTATTAGTGATCAAAGGAAGCGCTTTTACAGTCCCCAAAAATAAAACGATTCGCCAGTTTTCAGTGGTAATCATTTCAACGACTTGCGCTGGTGATCGAACCCCACGTTGAGAAAGACAACGTAAAACCCCGGCGTAAAACACTAAGACTGCGGGGGGAACTACGCACATGTATACACCTAACACACCGATTTACAGGGCAAATATTTGAAAATTTGATCGGATAGAAAATGAAATTCATTCAAACAGTGTGGCAAATGGAGGTCGATCACTTTATCAAGATCGATCAGTCGGTTTCTCTGATGCGTTCAACAGGATCGCTTGAAAATCGACTGAATTTAGAAAGATAGTCAATTGTGTATCTTACCATAGGCTGAGCTTAACACCGATCTTTTTCTTGAGTAAAGAAAATGCTCAACAAAGTCCTCACAACTTGTACATTCCAACGACTGCCGACAAGCAAATCAAATGAACTTCAAACAGTTTACAAACAAGGTCAAATCGTTAATTTATGCTGACGTACTGGGGTCATTGCGTCTATACACAACTTTGGTAGAGGGCGCTCTTCATCCAACGCAATTTGTATCCTCTGAATTTGTCCCAAAATGGTCACCATTGTGGGGATAATATAAAATATGATTACTATACAAACGAGTTTGGGATCCCATTTATGCTACTCTACAAAAGAATAAAGCTGCTATTAAACCTAAACCAGGTCATCGAATTTTAATTTTTACGCGAATTTATGATTAACATCGTTGTTCACAAAATCAAGATAAGAAAAACATATTACAGATATTTCTCACAAAAAACAGTAAAATATCAATTTGGCTTTTGAGCAGTTTATCATTGGTTGTTACAAAGTAATCTCCCCATATCTCAAATTTCATAGTAGTATTAAAGGCAGTTATGGCGTCATGAATCATTGGGAAATGCGTTTTTTAGATTTTTTTAGAAATAGTGCTCTAATATGAATTCATGTGAAAATAATTCCAAAAATGTTATTATTATTATTTCGCCCTAATTAATACGTCCAAAAAATTCACGAAAACGATTTGCTAAGAGACTTAGTTACGGATAAAGTGAAACTTTCAGGAAATTGGCGGGCAGCACTTCCATGAGAAGTCGGCTGTTGAAAACCGAAACAGATTATTATATTCTGTGTCAAGGATGAAGAAAATTTTTAAAAAAAATGGAAAAACTATATATTTCGGAGAAATGTATAGAAATGATTAGATGAATTGTTGATTTCACCAACGTTCCCTACTGACCATTTGTATGTGACATTATTACATGTTAGGTACAGGAAGCTGTATACTTACACTTCTTGTTGTCTCAAGTCGAAAATGAAAAACAACCAATAAAAATGGAGAAGTGATTATTCCATTATTTCCCATTTTTACTATTTTCAAGGATTTTTTTTCAATTTACTTATTTTTTTGTTCAAAAAAACAACAACAAACAATGTTGAAAATGCTCAAATGTGACCATTGATATCTTGGAAACGGTGTTCGAAATACCAAACGTGCAAAACGTGCTACAGTCACGGGCGTACCCCAACAGTTTACGGAAAGCATTATTATAACTGACCCGAAGGGAATTAACGATAGATTTTCTATACATACACCATAATTGGCAGCAATACAAACTAGAACAGAATGTTTTAAATAGCAAAAGTTTGACTTCGTTGCTGCAGTTCTTAAATTTACGTAGCATAATGTTTGCCCTCACACAGAATAAACGTTTCTGACAATCAATGTCCGCATCGTCTTTCAGGTCACGAGCTATTTTATGTCCTAGATAATTAAACTGGTCAACAAAGTCAACATTATTATTTTTGACAATGCTCCCTAGTCGTAAGAGGTACACAGGGAGGTAGAATTGTGCCTGTCTGGTAGAGTAGGACATACTGACACCTTATCACATTGTGACGAAAATCTCCCAACATAGTCAAGAAAACTGTCTGACATTATAACATGTGGATATGCAAAGCTTACCATTTTAATATTGAATATCAAAAAACATATCAGACAAGAAATGCAAATATAAAAATAATCCGTGAGTTATGATTAGAAACACTCACTCGAAAATGTGGGTTTACAGAAACAAACTCATTGTTAGAGTACTAGTAAATTGCACGTGGGCGCCAGCTTATATATATATACAAGGTGCACTGTCAAATAAGGTAATTTTTATTTACATATTCTCTAAACGAGTGTGCTCTTCCAGTCTTCATTGCCGAAATGCACCTACATTCAGCGGTTGCAGTTGAAAATCATTGACATTAATAAAACGCGTTATATACGCACCATAAGTTAGTCGCTATTTGGGTGGGAATGGCGCTTATAAAGCAATAATATAAAGCACCTGGGTCTCATTATAAGTTCAATCTCTGAAGTAAAATCAAGGAAATCCACTGACTTTTGACTCAGCAGTTTAATTTATTTCATTTCCTTTATTTTCTCCTTCTGTTTTCCTTTTTCTTAATATTGTAACATTTGATGCTGACTCGCGTACCACTCTCGTTCTCCTTTTATGGTGTTCACCATAAGATGACAGTTGAGCGCCCTCACAGTTAAACAACAAATAATATCTCTGTTTTTATAACTGCTTCAAATCCACGAACACCTAAAACAGTGAGCGCTCTCAAGATTCACAGGATTTTGTCAAATATTCTGCCTGAATGTTTATTTCTTTGATATACCACACTTTTCGAATTGTATTCAGGTACTTTCGATATGCAAACGAGTGTTGTTAATTTCCATTAGTTGAAAGTTTTCCTTTGCCAGAGAAGCACCGATACCGAGGAGTTTTTTACAAGATCTCTACTGCTTTCGAATTTGGTCGTTAGGGTAACTGTCCAGAAACTTCTAGGGGTGTTGATTCTCTATTTTAAAACCACGATAGTGCCCGTGATTATCCTTGCCAGAGCTCCTTGCCTCGAGAACACCGAAAGTATATATTAGTAGAATCGAACTGTGCATGGGAGATTGCTTGTAACATTCTTCTAACTTAATCTACTGAATACTATTTACCTCAGTTGCCGCTCGATGACTTTGGTGATCGAAGAATACCGGGTTAAAGTCAAGGGTTTTGCCACTAGCTAGTCAGTTTCTTTTAAAATTGAGCCGAAGTTGCAATATAATACCAACCGCACACTTTACGATCTAACCGACAAGAGCGTATGTTGAAAATTTGTAGTCAACGACCGGTCGCCCAGGCGACGACTAGATAATATATTCGTCTATATTTATCACGTGTCATTTAATTTGTATACTGAAAAACATGGCGGAAACGACGTTGTCATCGGAGAAAGATGAACGATTGTATAAGGTATATCAGATTGAAAGATAAATATCTAGACCTATATTCCTGTCATTACTGTATTTGTGTTCTCAATATCAGGTCTAATTCTGGTTATGGAGAAGGCCATTTGAAATCATTAAGTTTTGAGGAATGAAACACGCACAAACAACTACTAGTTGAAATACAATACAAGCCTATATTTCATCTCGAGATAGAACGTTAAAAACGGACAAAAATGTATGTGCTGTCACATGTCACTACAAAGTACGCATGCGTAAGTAGCCAACAAATCGTTTTCAGTCGTGACAAATGCGTGTACGGTCGAAAGCGTCCCACTGAAAAATAGAATATATATGTGATAGAATAGTCGCAGCAAAATCTGTAGTTGGGCTTAACTTTCAGACCAAAGATAGATGTCGTCATGGGAGCCAGTCCGAAAGAAGGATTACTGAAACTCCGCAGGGTGTTCTGACCTTAGTCCGCGCTTTTGGTTAAAACAGACTAGCAGTATTTTCCTTTTAAACCATGTGATTATTTTTTATTCTTTCAAATTCCACTTTCAATTGTAAAGTGTGTTATTAAAATTTCAAAAGTTGTTTTCAATCTTGATACTAGAAGACTTCCTGCAGTGCGCGTTCAAGAATTTATAAATAATATTAACATTTAAGTGAATAATAATTTGTATTATTACCGTACACTGAAGCCCAAACGGTAATCTCTCCCAATGCCCGAATAAAGATAACGTAGGTTGAGAGCATGTCAGTCCCGGGGTGCACAATGAACTCATGCAACACCCTTATTTAAGTTGCTTGTACTATTAATCTGTCTTCGTTATCCATTGTAATCTTAATCCAGTAAGTGCATTTGCTGTGAGTCGTTCGACATTACACCTTATGAATAGTGGCAAAAAATGCATACCGACTTTTTGTTTCTGAAGTGTTACATAATTATTCAGTCACACACAAGTCTTTTCGGGTCTTTTGTCTTGTTCGAAATATTATTTTAGATGAAAATCTCAAAAATGCAGATTTAAAGCGTTTGTTTATAATTTATTATTTACTATTTATTTCAGACTAATAAGTCCATATCCACACATACACACAAAAAATAATAAAAATAATAATAGTAAATAAATACTAGAAAGAACAAGAAATATAAACAAGAAATGATAGTTCGCTTGCTATTACATAATTGCACATAGCATCTCAGTTCAGCATTT